TTTTGTCAGAGGTGTGATGTTAACGTGACAAGAAAGATATTGCTATGGAAGCAATTTTGAGAACTTATCGCTCTATTGGAGAGAGTCGATAAGTGGATTTTTGTCAGATGTGTAGTATTAACGTGACAAGGAGAACATTGCTATGGAAGAAATTTTGGGGACTTATCGCTCTATTGAAGAGAGTCGATAAGTGGATTTTTGTCAGAGGTGTAGTGTTAACGTGACAAGGAGAATATTGCTATGGAAGCAATTTTGAGAACTTATCATCCTATTGACGAGGATTGATAAGTAAATTTGTCAAAGGGTGTATTGTTAACGTGACAAGAATTTGGAGTGATGCAAACTGAATGCATACTCTGTGGGGATGATGATCGTCAGAAGTGTAATGTTAACTCGACGATGTGAAAGATTCGTTACTCTTAATCCAGTGGATTCCAAGTAACCAACCCCCAGTCTTGATGAAGACTTAGCAGGGGAATAAAAAAGAGGTAGACAAGGCACATAGCCTAGTGGGGCACTATCCATAAAGTCGGAATAGAGGATTCCAAGTAACCAACCCCCAGTCTTGATGAAGACTTAGCAGGGGAATAAAAAAAAAAGAGGTAGACAAGGCACATCACCTAGTGGGGCACTATCCATGAAGTCGGAATAGAATCACATCACCAGGTAGGCCATTATCTGATGAGTTTGACTATCAGAGGTAACTGTTAACGTGATAGTTATTGGACCCGCCATCCTACTGAAGAGGATTGACTCCGGTGGCCGTAGTATCTTCCCCTTCTGACTGATGAGATTGGACTTGGTCCGATTGCTCTGGAGATGATTGGGCTTGGTCTGATTGCTCGGGCTGATCATGCCTACTTTGTTCTTCAGCTTTGATCCTGGCAATGATTTTTTGAGCCTGCTCGCCTTGAGAGATTAGTTGTCTCCAAGAACGGCATTCTGCAACTCCTATTCGGGCTAGGAGGTCGGTTTGCAAGTTGTGTCGACAGGTCTCTACTAAGGTAGATTGTGTCATACCTGACGAACACCGGAGAGCCATGGATCGGAACCTTTTGACATAGGCTTTGACGGACTCCCTCTTCTTCTGCTTAGTAGCAAGAAGGGTATGGATGGAGACTTCTGTATCCTCTTCAAAGAATCTTGACAGGAATAGTCTCTCTAGATCTGCCCACTTTTGGATACATCTGGTAGGCAGTTTCCTGAACCATTCAAAGGCAATTCCCTTGAGGGTGCCAATGAACAATCGAGCCAGTATGGCATCGTTCGATATTATATTTCTAGTCTGTGACTTGAAATGATAAATATGTTGGTTCGGTGATCCCGTGCCGTCAAAAGTTTGTAGCGTTGGGACCTCGAACTTTGGAGGATAAGGGGATGCATCCCATTCGGTAGGATAGGGCCTGATAACTCCCTCATCTTGGAGCTCGCTTCTGTTGGCAATGGCTTTGAGGCGGGCTTCCAATTCTTTCATTTTGGCAGATTGGAGATTTTTCTCGTTCTCTGTCTCTCTTCCTTCGTCAGAGGAAGATTCCAGGTTCTGGGCTTCTTGGTCAGAAGCTGTATCATCAACTACTTTTCCCTTCCATTTGCTTGTGTGAGGTCGGGATGAAGACGCTTTTCCTCTCCGGGAAGATTCTTGCCTAAGTGGCGAATCTGTCTCCTGAGATTTGGCCTTGTCTGCGACGATTTGAGTCAACATGGCCATGAGTTCATTGATGGCCTCCTGCTGAGATTTGAGCATGGCTTCCTGTTCATCAAGTCTCTTCGCGAGATCTTCATGGTTTCCCGTCATATAAGCGAAGCTCTTATGTTCAACAAAAGAGCTTGATGACTGGGACTCTGCAATGGCTGAGTGTTCGTCATCGGAATTAGTTTCTCTGGCCAAATTCCGATAATTGACAGGGGGAATGGCTCCTGTTCGCGTCCGAGTGCGTCGGTAGACTCCTTCAAACTCGTTAGTGATTTCTCTGACGCTTGGAGAACGATCTATCTCTGACTCGTCAGAACTAAGGGTTGATGATCTCCCTTTACCAACCATGTTAGAAGTGACTCTAATGTATTCATCCTCTAAAGTTTTCTTCCTGTGAGGATGTCGTTGATTATTGAGCAAAACGACATTCGTCGGTCGGTTGAACATCGACAACAATTCCCGCAAGTCAGAGACTTGGGATGAACCTGTCACAGAGCGTGAGGGTAGAGATGGAACCCCCTGTCCATTAAAGGATGAGACTGGCTCCTGGTGAACATGGATCTTGATTCCACGTTGATCTTTTTGAACACGACAAATCGCATCGTGTTCTGAAGAAGAAACACGAGGGTCGTGTTCTGTTTTACTAACGCTAGACCGAAGTCTGCGTTTTGTTGATAAAACGCACCTTTGCTGGTTGCGTTTTTGTTGGTTAACGCAGTTTGTAAGTCTGCGTTTTGGATCTTGAACGCACTCCTGAGAGTTGCGTTTTGGTTCTGAAACGCACTCCTGAGAGTTGCGTTCTGCCAAATCAACGCAGTTTTGAAGGCTACGTTTTGATTGCACAACGCACCACTGAGGGCTGCGTTTGGCATAAACTGAGTCCACTCCTTTAGAGGTGGGGCTACTCGAGTAATCTCGGCGGCTGGAGGAGAGGGTTTCCTTTGGCATAGGAGCAACCTTTGGAGCTTTAGTCTCCTTGGCACCTCTCACAGAGCGTGAGGGTAGAGATGGAACCCCCTGTCCGTTAAAGGATGGGACTGGTTCTTGGTAAACATGAATTTTAAATCCATGTTGATCATTTTGATCACGACGAATCACATCGTGTTCCAAAGAAGGAACACGAGGGTCGTGTTTATCTTGATTAACGCAAGACCAAAGTCTGCGTTTTGCTAGTGAAACGCAGTCCTGCGATCTGCGTTCGGATTCAGAAACGCACTCCTGAGAGTTGCGTTCAGTTTGTGAAACGCACTCCTGAGAGTTGCGTTTTGGTTCTGGGACGCACTCTTGAGGTTGCTTCAGCCAGATCAACGCACGGTTTGAGGTCTGCGTTCTGATGTTGGAACGCGCCTCTGAAGGCTGCGTTCTATCTGGGAACGCTCCCTTGAGGGTTGGCGTCTAGCATTGGGCCTATGCAGAGCTCATGTTGAGGCTCGCAGAACACGGAGGTTTCGCGTTGGGATTGGAGATCGGACTTTGGAGTTCGTGCCGATAGTCGAGTCTTCTCCTTTAGGGAGGGGACTGTATGAACAGGCAAACCCCATGGGAGATAGGTCTTTAGATTGAGTTGGCCAAACTGGAGCTTTAGTCTCCTCGGAAACTTTGTGGATCTTGCGCTGCCCTGGGGCTAAAGGATCCGGAGGAGAGGGCTTCTCAAACCTTGGCTTGATCGAACTCGATGATCAGAGTTTCAACGGTCGTTCCAATGAGATGAAACGTCGGATGCGCCATCACTTCTTCGTCAGAGAAGCTAGTCCCCAGCAGAGTCGCCATCTTAGTGTTTGTTGGAAATTTGTAGTAAAAAGACAATGAAAGAAAATTTGACTTGTATTCCTCTCAAAATCAATTACAATTTGGATTCCGATTACAAAAGAGAGGAGAATGAATTTGATTCTCCCCTTTGTTTAATTCTGGGTTCTTCACGGTGGCGATGAGATGCCTCCCTCGAATGCTCGCGTCGAGTTTGCTTCTCGTTGACGATCCGAACGTCTTGATTCACTGGAACGATGTCTTCTCCTCACGATTTGACGCTGTGGAGAACTTGCGTGGCAAGTTTGAAGATAACTCTTGACGAGTTGATAACTCTGAACGAGTTTTAGAAGAACTTGCAGAGCAAGTTTTGAACTCTGATCGAGTTGATAACTCTGAACGAGTTTGAACTCTTGAAAAAGAGTTGATTTGAACCGAAAGTCGGTTATAAGCCAAGGGAATGCTCCTGTGGTCGATCGTTGCTGAGGATGAACGTCGATCTCCCCCTTGCTGCCCAAAAAGAAGGATCCCAGAGCCCAGAGCCAAAAAGCCGCAGATCGCTTCTTTGCTGCCCAAAAAAGAAGGATCCGAACTCAGTTGAGTTTCCCACTATTTATAGGGGATTTAGGGTGGTAACTACCCCCTTAATCCGCTCTTAAGTGGGGCGAAAATCCCTCAAATCGTGGGGAAAAACAGTTCCTGGAACTGTTCATTACGTGCTTTGCACGAGTCAAACGCTAAAAGATAGCGTTCATGGCCCGCACTCTGCGTTTTTAGACTAAAAACGCAGAGTTGGGCCTATTCTGGTGGCTGAACGCACTGGCCGCGCAGCGTGATGAACTCTGAGACGCAGAGTTGGGATGTTTTAGGCTGAAAACGCACAATTCGTGCTGTAAACGCACAGTTGGCCTGTTTCAGGCTAAAAACGCACAGTTGAGCCCATAAACGCACAGTTGGCCTGAAAACGCACAGTTGGCCTGTTTAAAGGCTGAAAACGCACAGTTCGTGCTGTTTCGGAGATGAACTCTGCGTTTTAGGCTGAAAACGCAGAGTTGTGCCTGTTTAAAGGCTGAAAACGCACAGTTGTGCTGTTTTAGAGATGAACTCTGCGTTTTAGGCTGAAAACGCAGAGTTGTGCCTGTTTAAAGGCTAAAAACGCACAGTTGTGCTGTTTTAGAGATTAACTCTGCGTTTTGATGTTGAAAACGCAGAGTTAAGCCTGGGCGTTTTGACTCTGTAATGCAGAGGCGAAACTTAGGCGGGCTTGGCGAGCTTCAGGCTAAGTCCAATGTTCTGACGAAGTCCAGTCTTGCAGACGGACTTCAGAACACAACTTGCTACGAAGAACATGTCATAACTTTCAAACCGTACGTCAGAATTGGACGAATTACATATGAAAATCGGCTATCTCGACGAGACGGGGCCATCCGAACCAAGCCGAAGGCTTTGGTTCGCTTCCTCCGTTTTGCCAAATTCCTTACGGTTTGAGAGATATCTGCATTCTAATATGAAGAGACCGTCAATTTGTAGTCTCTTTTGCTAGAGCTTTGCACAGATCGTCCTCTTGTAATCTTCGTCTTGACTCCTTGAAAATATGAGAGTCGTCAGATTGTAACTCCCGATGTTGATTGTGAATGCTGTTGAATTAGGGCCTTCATTAGTTGTTGTGAAGGTCGTCAGATTGTAACCTTCTACGTGAAAGTCCTCAAATTGTAGCCTTCTGGAAGTCGTCAGATTGTAACTTCCATCATCGGTGTTTGATGGGGGATTAACTATCTATTGTGATTTTTAGACAGCCTACAATCATGATGGTCGATGAGAGCAGACAGAATCGAATGATATGTTGTGCCTTGGGCTTATCTTTAAGAAGAGCCAAGTGCTTTGTGCCGACTAAGGAGTCGTTGTGCCTTGAGCTTATCCTGATGAGGAGCTAAGGTCATGATATCTGACTGAGAAGTCGTTGTGCCTTAGGCTTATCCTGATGAGGAGCTAAGGTCTTGATATCCGACTGAAAAGTCATTGTAACTTGGGCTTATCCTGATAAGGAGCCAAGGTCTTTGTTCCCGTGATGGTCGATGGGAACGGACGGAATTGAACCATATGTTGCGCTTTGAAACCTCAGGGTTTGACTAGGTTTTTGATGTTTTCTTCTCTTTTTTTATTGATTGTTGAAATTTGTACATCAAGGAGTGCAACTTATTAACATTTTTCATCCGAATGGTATTGATTCCTTATTTTCCACTCATGTACTCTTATGGTTGCCTCTTGCAAGGAACAAGGCCATCGAGACAGAGCTTCTTGGGTTGTTTCGTGTCGTCTTTGAACAGACCTGTTTTAACAAGGGTGAGTTACCGCTTTATTGGCTATCTTTGTTGCCAAACTACGGAATATCCAAAAATCAGATGTTGCTCTCTCTTTTGAGGGCGGACTGTTTAGCTTTAGACGTCGCTGAGTAGTCGACATATTTGCTATCTCATCGGCTAAGACCTTTCCAAACTTGAGTCTTTGCTGAGGTCTTTGCCGATCGACGGTGGATATGGTGATTTTTCAGCAGATCTTACTTCACCATCGCTGGTTGCCTTGCATGGCCAGTGTCCTGTTGATTGAGCTTTTTGGAGGATGGTGCTCGATAGAAGGAGGCCCAGGAAACTTTTGTGATGGGGGGCTTCTTGTTGGTGAAACCCCAAGCGTCGATGCCTTACTCCCTGGAATTTGACAAAATCATGGATTCCCCTTGGGGACTCCAGAGATAGCAACGACTGGACCATCCTGTGAATGGAGGAGCCTTCTTTTGTAGGGAGAGTGTGAGTCGCATGCTTTGACCACCAGTTATTCCTTCAATTCTGACGGTCCTGAGCATCTGTCGGGGGCTAGGGCTGTTAATCTTCCTGAGAAGACCAGCTAGTGAGCCCTCGAGTTTTTCTGCAATCTCACCTTTGGTGAGGAAGGACTCTCCTTTGAAGGTGGTGATGGTCCGAGGAGCCTGCCACAGGTCTAATCGCTACTCCTTATATGTGTAAACCGTCATTGACGGGAGCTTAAGCGATACTGGATCTGATCATAACTCTCGCTGGAGGCGGGGTTCTGTTTTGCGATCCAACCTCGGCCTCTTGGCTGTCCAAGGGGTGGAGTTTTATCTGTGGCGACGATAGGGAAACTGTGCTTCATTTTTAAGCCAGACAAACACTATAGTGGTGTGTCTTTTCTAGAAAGGCTTTTGGGGTTCCACTTGGCAAATACTCCCCCAAAAAGCTATTAGAGCCTTTGAGGGCTACACCTATGTTGGCTCCTCATAGCCATAATCCTCCTTAGCTTGAATGATGCGATTTTAGGCTTTATTTAGCTTGAATGATGCGATTTCAGTAACATTTTTTAAGACTAGACAAGATCAGACCTCTACTTAGAATTGGGCATGTCTTCTGAGAGAAGAGAGTGGGCCCCATGGTCGGCGCCAAACTATTGATGTGTGATAACACACAGTCGACGGAGGGTTTCTGCCGTAGGATACAGTCCCGATCTCCACACTGACGGCGAAGAGGGAGAGGATGAAAGGTGGGGCCGACTCCTCCTCCGACTTTACACCCGATCCTTGAACTGGAATTCCTGAGCTTTTCTATGCAAACAAGAAGAAAAAACCCGTAAGAGGGCAGGGACCGGTCCCCTGTGGTACCTCCGACGGTCAAGTTAGTTGATGAGCTTGAGTGGGGTTTGAGAGAAGATCCGAGGATCATTGAGGTCCTAGAATTCATTATTCTTATTGAGTTTTTAGTAGAAGGCATGGCTTTTTAGAATTGTTTAGAGTTTAAGAATAAGAAGGTTCAGAAGTCTCCCCTGAGTTAAAAGTTTCATCCTCCTGTTCTTTCTCCCCTTACCTCCTTTTATAGTCCATTGCCTCTAAGATTTGACCTTTGGCTTTAACTATGCACAGGAGGGCGGTTAAGGGGTGAGCAGACAGGTTGTTGAGCCATCCTTTGCTTTATAGATGTCGGCTGGTGACTGGAAGGGAAGTCATTCGAGCTCAGGAGAGGGCGTCTTGGAAATATCCCAGATTCGATAGATGAGACAAAATGGAGGATAGGCCGACTGTTTGGGCCTCCTTCCATTGCCAGGTGACGGCTGACGATTGGAGGGGAAGTCATTCGAGCACAGGAGAGTATCTTAGCGATCTCTGGGAATATCTCAGATTCGATAGATGAGACAGAACGGAGGATAGGCCGACTGTTTGGGCCTCCTTTCCTTGCCAGGTGGCGGCTGACGACTGGAGGGAAAGTCATTCGAGCACATGAGAGTATCTTAGCGATCTCTGGGAAGTGACATGCAGGTAGAATGAGCTGTTTCCGCACGAGGTTTGTCATAGTTGCGATCTTGAGAGGATCGCTCAATAAATTGTGGTGTTGATTGATGTATCTCTGAAGGTAGCTTAGCTGGATCTTATCCCCTTAGTAAGGACGGGTCAATTTGTCAGTCGCCCATATGATTTGTCGACCAGTTAGTCGAGTGAGCTTCTGGTCGAGTGAACTGCCGAGAAGGTGATTGAGCCGACTATTTGGGAAGTCGTCTCGACTTATAAGGGGTCGACTAATCCCACACTTCGTGTCGGTATAAGAGGACTCATTTCCTCGGCGGGTCAATAGACTTGCCCTTGGCTGGGCCTTTGGGCCACTAAGTTGGTTTGGACTATATGAAGGCAATCTTTCGACATATTTATCTTTAAATGGTAAATTACCATAACAACACTGTTATTTAATAATCACGTACTCCTAAATAAAACTGTTTAATAACACAATAATAAGTTAATTTAAATAACTAGTAAATGAATGTTAATACTAGTATAGCTACTAATAATAGTATAACTTAAACTTGTAATAATAGCGGAACAAACTAACTTATAAACTATTTATACATACTTTATTAAATAATATAACGTTAAATACAAAAACAAATGCGTTCACGTGCAATACAACTGCATTATACTAGTTATATCATTATTTAAATATGTTTTCCCCTAGAAACCATCTTACAAAAACCATCTTTCAATGTCAATTTATATATAAACCACCTTTAAAGTGAGCTTGTGTCGCAATCAGCCACCTCCCAATCAATTTTGTGACCGAAAACTCAAAAAATACCTCAAAACACTCACATTCAAGATATGTGACTTATTTTAATGCTTGGTCGAGTCAAGATGCAAGTCACGCATGATGGATGAACAAGAATTTTTTTAAGATTAATTTTGGTTTTTTAGTGAAAATGTAACTGTGAGGTGGTTGACCAACAGTAATTCAATTTAAAGATGTTTCATGAATAAATTAACATTACAATATGATTTTTTGTATAATACACGTGATTTTCAAGTGATATTACTATATCTCCATGATTTGACACTGCAACTGCAATGCATGCCAATCAACGCACCTAGTAGCAACTGAAATTCAAGTTACGTTGACACCATTTTCGTTATACTTTGCATCATCACCGCCTAGGCGCCTACGGCAAGTTTTCTCCTGTTCCATAGAAAATAGGATGGGATTCATCCTCGTTGTCCATATTCACAAGTCGGTACCTCAAAATCTTGTGAAATTAGTCCCCAGACTCCCCACTCATATAATGGCAAGCAAGTCAACCTACTGAGGGAAGCTTTCACCTAGCGCGTCTCTGAAAAGTATTTTCTTGCTATCATTAATTTTGTATGTCTTTTAGCTTCAATGTGAACGTGAACAGTGCGAGACAGGTAACAGTGTCTCGGCACTGTTCACTGAGACAGTCAACAGTGTCTCAGCACTGTTTACCCGAGAGCGGTTTGGGCTTTTTCCTACGGTTTTGGGTTCTATTTTCTTGGTATAAATAGGAAATCGTTCCTAGGGTTTTCTAAGGGGTTTTGGCTGCTATTTTGAGAAAAAAAACAAAGAGTTTTTCAGATCTAAAAGGTGGGATCTTGATGATAGAAAAAGAGAAAGCTTGGATAGATTTTACAAGAGAGAAGTCAATTTCTTTTGGGTAAAAAATCATAGTTTCATCTTTGGGACGAGCTTGTGTGTTGTACAAGTCGTCGGTGTTCTCCTCATAGTGAAATCTCCCTTCACCCCTCCCATGGACGTAGGCAAGTTTGCCGAACCACGTAAATCTCATGTCTTTATTGTTTTTTTCTTCTGGGTATTGGTTATTGCTTGTTGGTTTCCTCGATATTCAGACCTAGATCTGATATTGGGAAGAGTATATATCTCACTTTGTTGAGATATATTACTTCTGTTCTTGTTTCCTTTGTGAAACGGGAATATAGAGGTTGACTTGAGCTTTTGTGAAAACAAAAGCCATAGCTTTCTCTCGGGTGATATCGCTTTCGTGGCGTGAGAGCGTGACTTTGCACCTAACAGTTGGTATCAGAGTCCCTTAATCAGATTGGTGGTGGTAAAGCTCCCGATTTGAGGTGGTGTTTTGGGTATTGTGTGGTGCACACAAGGTATTTGCTAGATTTCTTGAGAGAAGCGGTTTACTAAAACAAGCAGAGAATAGCGTCTACAAGTAAAACAGTTTAAGTGGGAAAGTATGAGATCGAAAAATTCAAT